CATCTTCTTGGTTATGGTCCCGGGCTCGCGGCTGCTTCCGGCACCTCCTTGCCCCACCGCTCCTGCCGAAGAGTATCGTCCCCCGTAGCTGCCGGACTAGTTGTTCCAGCAGCAGTAGCAGCAGCAGCGGCAGCAGCTGATCTCGCCTGTCCAGATATCCAATACAGGACGAAGGCGCATCGAAACCGCGGCAAACGCCACACGCGTCACGGTACACTAACCACGAACACCCCGACGAGAACCACGGGCACGACGACGACGAGGACACTCGCGACCGACCTGTCTCGCAGCCCTCCGCGACACACATACGTCACGGAAGAAACGTAGCAGCGCGTGCACCGTTCGCGGGGGACCACCTTACGAAACACCTCGGGACCGCGATCGACCGTGTTACTCTACGGGCTTGTACGCGATACCCCGCGCGCGATTAACGTGTCCCCCTGTCGACCGTGCCGCCGTGACGAGGATAATCTGGCATTCCTCAGGTGGGCACCGATCAGAGCACCGTTCGCCGACGTTCGAAATAGCCCCGCAGCCGCCTTTCGCCAACCGGCGTTATCGGGAGCCCACGTAAATCCCGAACCGTTACCGACGAACTGTCACAACGGGCGAGACGCGTACACCGATCCCCACGATCCACAGGATTCAACGCGGAACCGATTCTCTCCCACTGCTTTTTTTCACGTATTTATATACGTCGCAGAACTATCCGCAAACAGAGGAGCGCCATCTTGGTTTCTGATGTCGCGGAACGAGCCGAATGGGATGCGCGCGCAACCGACACAGCTGTGAACGGGTGCCGCGGCTTTTCGGAACACGCGCGACACCACTGTCCCCGTGTTCCCGCCGCGAAATTCTGTTTGAATCTCCCGATACGTTACGTTTCCTCGATCGATGGGGATTCTCCCTGACGATCCGCGGGACGTTAGATTGGATATCTCGTTGTTTGATGGTGAGAACAGCTGCCATTGTTCACCTACGCAGAGATTATTTGAAATGGAATAGTTGAAAGTATATATTGGAGTAATATTTCCGATAGATTGAGATGTTTCGTTTGATATTCCGATGGAATTATGATTGGTTGGGTCCAGCTGAATGGAACATTGCGTTAAGATTTGAACGCCGATTTTTAAGATGTAAAAACTTTGCGTAAAGTTGATTAATATTGAAAGAACTTGTTTTTATAGCGAGAGTAAAGCGTAGAGAATGAAATTACAGTAGTTTGGACCAATAAATCTTCTTATTACCTTGGAAATTTCGATGTAAAATATCTGCGATGTGCGGATGTGTTTAGAGCCGCGCGCCATCTTGAATAGTAATTCAAAGATGGCTGTCGAGACTACGGTATAAGTCAGTGGTGCAGTGTGCGCGTTGGACGTGGATTGTTCTTTATTTTTGTGTTCGCGTGGTGTTCGGTTATTTTTAAGTGTAGTTACCTGTCAAGTTTCTAGTAGAGTCTCCGTTTCACGTGCGAGTCTTCTAAAAGGACAATAGATCTCGTCGTAATGGGCCGTTCCAGATCCAGAACGAAATCGCCGAGCAGGAGGCGTCACAAGAGCAAGCACTCGAGGAAACGCTCCAAATCGCGAGAAAAACATTCTAACAATAAATACTCCGAAAAACCAAAGGAACGCAGTTCAAAATCGAGGTAACGTGCTTCCCCTTCCCTGTCATTCAGATACATACACGCAATTACACCAATTTATTGAGTTCTCCGCCATTTTGCCCCACACGCTTAGTGGGAGAGCTTTACATTTTCATATATGTTGTTGAAAGTTACGTCGGTCATGTGTTTATATATCGTAGTGCGCCGCAAGTTTCTGGTTTCCTATAATTAAATATGGTATTTCACTATTCTTGTGCAACCGGCCATATTAGTGTCTTCTTCTCATTCTTCATGAGAGTGTAATTATAGTGTATTTGTTTATTTGTTTGTTCAGGAAACGGTCCCATTCTGCATCCTCCAGTACAGGTTCAGATGCGTCAGATGATGTACATATTGTCAGTCACAAAAAACGTTCATATAGGGATAGGGATCGCAAAATGGATGAGGTAGAGAGGTTGGCAGAAATGGAGCGGCAAAGGTAATTGATCTAATGTAACTTGCTGTTTCTCTGATTTGTATATCAATCAAAGTTATCATGTTCAATTGAGATCTTTAATTGGAGAATATACATCTTTAAATTATACTTAATGTCTTTTTTATTAGGTGTATGGCATGTACATTTGAAAATAGCATCATATACGTTGTATTATATTTTCCATTTTCTTTAATTTACTCGAGCTTGTGTTTTTACTTATGTTTTGAATGTCCTTCAATAAAAATTATTTTAAACATTTTATTTGTATTGGTGTATGTTTTTTATTTGTAATTATGTTGTCAGGAAAAAGAAAGAATTATCGAACAAAATCTTCACTACGAGTGCTGTTGGGTAAGATGGAAAAACTATTACATGGTGGTGGTTCACTTGTATTTGCTCCTATATATACATGTGTTCAGGACATTAACGAATAACACCTTATATAAATTCTTCGCATAGATGATCGACAATAATTGATCGAATTGATTCCAGATTTAAAGATACACATTTTCTTGAGTTAATATATTTTGTACTCGTTTATAATAATAGTTATAATAATATTTGCGAGAGAAGCATGTTAGGTAACTTGTTTTGAGACTATTCGCTACCGCGGTAGCGTTAGAACAACAAAATATTTCTGTGCTTCCAGAAGGCAACGTGAAGTGGAGCAAAAAATGGTTGAGGAGGAGGCTGCCAAACGAATCGAAGAATTAGTGCAGAAGAGGGTGGAAGAGGAGCTAGAAAAACGTAAGGAGGAAATAGAAGCCGAAGTACAAAGGAGGGTAGAAGAAGCGAAAAGGGCGATGGAGCGTCAGATGATGGAGGAAATGGAATGGAGACAAGCAAAACTTCGTGAGGAGGAGAAACGGAGAGAGGTAAGACCAATCCAGAGAAACATTGGCCAGTGTTAGCCCAAGCGCTGTTATGATCAACAGGAAATATTTCCGGTGCTTTATCCGTGAATTATTTTGCATTTCAATCAGAAATTCGTTCAAATCGCTAGAGAGATCTAACATGAATTGAACGTGTAACGAACGAAAGTAATAAATTTTATATTAAATTTAGCAGCTTATCTGGTAAGGTGCACATTAGTTCAAATATTTTTTTTAAAACCATTAACACACGTAAGAGATTTTTCAAGCCTATGGTACCAATGGTGGAGTACGCGAAATTTAAATGAAACCTTCTAAACGATCGTGTATAGGGTATCAGTCGAATTATGTGCAATGAAAATTGATACACGTGAACGTAGCATTACGTTGATTCTCTATTTCGCGATCACAGCGTTTGGGCTTGAAGCATTGTGGTTGTTAATTATTGAGAAAAGTATTATTGAGAAATGCCACATTGCTTCGGCTTCCCAGCATCCACTGAGGTCGCGTTGTTGGGAAGATTATACAACATTTTCATTTTATGAGAAGAATTTTGCTATCATAGGAGCATGTATCGGTTATTTATGAACAGAATATTGTATTTGTACCATGTATATATTTATATATTTGTACAACATTAATACCTTTCATCACATAATATTTTCGAATTGCCAGTCGTACCCGGAATTGGAAAAATCGCGTTCGAACGCGCAGTCCAGCGCGTTTCTGTTCGCTGTTTTTGCAACCGCGGTATCCTGCCAATCCAGCAGACCTAATTTACTTATCAATCTAGTTTTATATCCGCGTATGTGATTGTCCACATAATCGCATCGTACAGTCTTTTAAGGAGTAGAGAAGAAGCACACATCGGAATGACTAAAGTTAGCGATCCCAAACTTTGTAACTTCACTGAAAAGATAAAAAGTGAACAACGTAAGTTTGAAATAAAGTTATTTTTCTACGAAACTATAGGTCAGTGATACTTTTTCCCTGAAAATAGCTTTTGCTACCGGTCAGACGAGAACTTTTTCACGGGAACCTTGACAATTT